TAACCCGTAATTAATTTTATGAAAAAAAATAATAACTGATAATGAAAAAATTTAAAAGACAGGACTTTTTAGCACATATATGGTATAAAATTTATTTGAGGTCATTTCAAAAAATTGTGAGTAGATATAACGTCGAAAAAATAACCCAAAAGTGGGAATTTTAACTTGTAGCAGAGGAATTTTTGAATACAAATGAGCAAACTTTTGAAATAGAATTTGCTCTATATCAGATGAGCTCCACACTGGTGAAATTTGGGGTGATTTTACCAACGATATCTCAAAAATTAGATTCTTATTAACTTCAATTTGCCGAGTTAACCAAAATGTTTTATGTGTATTAAGAGGATATTGGATAAGCATGCAATATCTACGCTTATTATACAAACTTGAGTTTTGATGATTATCTTGAAATTAAGAATTTAGGTTTGGAATTTTCATGTATCATCACGGCTGTATGCATATAAACAGATGTAGAGTAGTATGGCTATCAAAAATAACCCAGTTTTATTGAAAAATACGGGTGCTACAAGTTAAATTTATGCTACGGAGTTATTTTTCCGACGTTACAATTTTGAATGTTATAATTATAAGGGCATTCAATTTCGAAAGATTTAAGCAGCAATATTCTTGAAATTTTGCTGATGACTGATAGTACTGACAAGTTGGTCAGGAATAACTATATTATGAGCACTTTTGAATCAAATTCAAATTGTTATAGACCGAAAATAGATTTTTTCGGTTTTCTCTTCAAATAATTGAAAGAATGATACTATTATAGGTTTATTATATTATATAGCATATAATCATGCTATAGCCGAAAATTATAAGTTTTGAGAAGATTGAATATAACACAAATAAATTTGAATGTAGGTTAAATTGCTTGTTGTTTTTAATATCTATTTAATGAGAAATCCAATATTGCAAAATTCAAATTGAATGATTGAAAGAACAGAAAAAGTCATTCTTTTCAATTTCGAATATGTTTCATTGTATTTATAATTATATGGCAAATAAGATATTTAAACTTGATTTTTGAAGGAAAATTCACAAAATTGAATAAATTCAAATAATTTTTATTCAAAAATAAACTAGTTATTTGAGTTTAATACAAATTATCTATTCAAACTACAAAGTTTGTAATTTAAAATATTTTGTGAGATCAGATTGAATTAATTCAGGTTTTTTCAATTAATATTCATGACCATATTACGCATTTTCGAACATTCTAAACCAAATATATAAAAATGGGAGACGAATGTTAAATTTGCTAGACATGGGGAGTTGTCTGCAAAGTTTTAGCTCTTATCTCTAACAAAAAATTAATTTTTAAAAAAAAGACCGAATACGTTTCACAGCGAGAAAAAAATAAAAGGCAAGATAGAATTTTCTAGACATAAAAGTTGTTTACCGAGTTTTAGCTCTTATCTCTAACAAAAAATTAATTTTTAAAAAAATGACCGAATACGTTTCACAGCGAGAAAAAAATAAAAGGCAAGATAGAATTTTCTAGACATAAAGAAGTTGTTTACCGAGTTTTAGCTCTTATCTCTAACAAAAAATTAATTTTTAAAAAAAGACCGAATACGTTTCACAGCGAGAAAAAAATAAAAGGCAAGATAGAATTTTCTAGACATAAAGAAGTTGTTTACCGAGTTTTAGCTCTTATCTCTAACAAAAAATTAATTTTTAAAAAAAGACCGAATACGTTTCACAGCGAGAAAAAAATAAAACTGTACACTGATTTTAATTTTCATTTCCAGTCACTTTACTTATTATTTTTTCTTTTTTCATTTTAATTATAAATTATTTCATAATACGTTTATTTACGTTACCATTTTCTTTATTCTTTTGAATTCCATACTAGACACTTATAGAATATTTTGATTGTTAAGTACTTCATTAGAATGAATCCTTACAAAGGGTATGTCGATCGAATTTACCTAATTGGTATTTCCAATCAGATTGAAGAAGGTAAAATGACATGGGAAGAAGCTTGCACCCATGTTCCCATCACCCCAACCCTTCAATCAAATGATTTCAAATATTTAGATGTTTCAAAATCTTTTTTACAAAATCAATTTAGCTTACAGAATATCCCATTGCCTAAAGGCAAGAAAGGTCGTAGGGTCAATCCCTACGACCAAATCAAAGCTCTTGCTGTGATACATGACCACTGGGCCTTTCCCTGTGGTCAAACAAAACAATGGAAACGTTTGAAATTACAACAAATTGATGTATCTTATAGAGAAGTACGCAGATACTTCAAATAAAATCATTTCACCAAGACGCGATTAGAGCATGCCGGGCCAGAAACAGCAGTAAGATATTGGGCGCTTTCCCCCAATCTTATCTGGCACGCAGATGTTCATTATTTTAGGGGTGTTCGTGGCCAGTATATTTATGGCATATTCGACGATTTTAGCCGCAAAGTCCTAGCGTGTATACAAATACCAGATATGCTGGCAGCGACGACAGCGAACGTTGCGGCTTCCGCCTTCATTGAATTTGGCGCCCCTTATTGTTTCTGGACCGACAACGGTTCAGAAAATAGGGGCGCCTTTCAAGATCTACTTGATCTTTGGGGTCCAATGGCGGCATACAGACTCTCATTCTCCCTACCAAAATGGGAAGATTGAGAGATTCTGGCCGACATTGGAGCGCTGCCAAAGCATTCAGGCTATTCCTGCCTTTATTTGGGAGTACAATAATAACACACCGCATGAAGATCTCCCAATTAATCCATTAACTGGAACAAATTACACGCCAAATCAAATGTATCAGCTGAAACCGAAATACACAAATGCAGATACAGAAAGGTTGTGGCAAATATGGGATACAGATACAGGCATGACCGCTGTTGACACATTCACAGCGTAATAATAAACATAATTTTTTAATTTCATTTTTAACAAGTTTTTTAAATGTATGTAATGAATAATTCATTAGAATATGATAATGCACATTGTAACAGAATAGAACAATCACCAAATTTTTTTTTTTGAAATTAAAAAATAAAAGTAAAAAGTATAAAGTAATCTAACCAAAAAAGATATTTAAAGAATTTTGGAAAAAACAGAATAAGGATAATGATATTATTTTAGATACACAATCGATGTACTGAAGAATAATCCGGTAAAATGATGATATAAAATTAGAATATTTTACAAGTAGCTAAAAGAATAAAACTATAATATAAAATAAATGAAGTTTAATGAAACAATAAAGGTTAAATAAATAATAAAGATTTTTATTTTATATCAGTATTGAGAAGAAGTAACAGCTGACACTTGGTAGACAACTTCTTTATGTCTAGAAAATTCTATCTTGCCTTTTATTTTTTTCTCGCTGTGAAACGTATTCGGTCATTTTTTTAAAAATTAATTTTTTGTTAGAGATAAGAGCTAAAACTCGGTAAACAACTTCTTTATGTCTAGAAAATTCTATCTTGCCTTTTATTTTTTTCTCGCTGTGAAACGTATTCGGTCTTTTTTTTAAAAATTAATTTTTTGTTAGAGATAAGAGCTAAAACTTTGCAGACAACTCCCCCATGTCTAGCAAATTTAACATTCGTCTCCCATTTTTATATATTTGGTTTAGAATGTTCGAAAATGCGTAATATGGTCATGAATATTAATTGAAAAGAACCTTGAATTAATTCAATCTGATCTCACAAAATATTTTAAATTACAAACTTTGTAGTTTGAATAGATAATTTGTATTAAACTCAAATAACTAGTTTATTTTTGAATAAAAATTATTTGAATTTATTCAATTTTGTGAATTTTCCTTCAAAAATCAAGTTTAAATATCTTATTTGCCATATAATTATAAATACAATGAAACATATTCGAAATTGAAAAGAATGACTTTTTCTGTTCTTTCAATCATTCAATTTGAATTTTGCAATATTGGATTTCTCATTAAATAGATATTAAAAACAACAAGCAATTTAACCTACATTCAAATTTATTTGTGTTATATTCAATCTTCTCAAAACTTATAATTTTCGGCTATAGCATGATTATATGCTATATAATATAATAAACCTATAATAGTATCATTCTTTCAATTATTTGAAGAGAAAACCGAAAAAATCTATTTTCGGTCTATAACAGAATCAAATTCAAATAACGCAGAATAATTAGAGAAATTATGCTGTTTAAGTTATCATACAGTTTTATAAAGTTATTTTCGATTAATAAAATTTTCATAGAAAAATTAAAATCAAAATCATTCGAAAATTTGACACGAATTCTGTAAACTCCAAATACATTTTTCGGTCTATTTATGAAAATAATTAAAAAGATACATTATTCAAAGGCATTAGGTCAACAATTTCTATCAAAAAATAACAGTTACTAGATTAATTTAGTTTGCAATATTATTTTACAGATTTTCAATTATACAAATAAATTTATTCTTCAAATAAATGGAATACGAATTTAAATCAGTTTAGTTTCCAAAAAATTAGAATTTTCTTCCAAAAAAAATCAAATTGGAAAAAATTTCAAAAATTAATCTTGTTTCAACAAATGATACCCATCATAGATTGATTTTCAGCAATTAATTTTAATCAATATTTTATTTGATAATTTATTTATGGAAAATATGAAGGAACTTTTATTTTTCGGATGAAATCGGGATATTTAAAAGATTTTAAATGTTTTTGTTGATTACAGTAATTTATTATTCGTTAAATTTACATCATTTCAAATATTTTTGAAAGAATATTTTTGTTGTTCCAGATATAACTCATATAATAAATTATATATCATTTATTGATAGTTTATTTTATGAGGAACCTTTTTTTTAACTGAATGATACCCATGATAATTTGTATTTTTCTCAGTTGATTAATGCATGATTTTGAAAACGATTACCAAAGTATGCTTAGAGGTCTACTACCTACTGCAATATATCATTGATATTGTTAAATATTTAAAAATAAATATTGTTTGATTGAGAGTTTATTAAACAGAAACATTTTTAGGATAAAACAATCAATGTACATTCAATAATAACGATAGATCATATGGATCAGTATACTCGCAGCATGGTTGGGGCTGCTTTGGAAGACATTGATTTGAAACTTCTGCTATTTTATCGACAGGTGGACGATTTTGACTGGACATGAAGTTAAACCCATTTAGTATCTGAAGAATTGAGTCCCAATTTTCAGCATACCAGCACAGAAGGGCTGTGCGATTACGCTTGGCAAGTCTATCTATCTGTAAATTGAACTTTTCAATGGCAATACGAGCAAGCGTCATTAAGATCTCAGATGTAACATGAGTACCAAAATATTTATCAACATAATCATTGATGTATTGAATTTGATTTCCAGTACTACGGATTCGCTTCTGTATCATATCATTATCTCTAATGCTTTGGATTGTTTTCTTACGCTTTGGGCAAGTTTTACGAACCGCATTCATAGTCATGGACATGCTTCTAAAAAAAAATAAAAGGACTATTCAATCTGTTTTGAAAGGAAATTTGAATAAGATTGAATTAATTGAAGAAAAAATTCCAATTGATTAGAATAGAGGATATTGAGCAGTTATTTCAAAAATAATTTAATTGAATTTGATTAAAAGCTTTTGAATTCAAAAATTTCCCTGAGAATATTTTGATATCGTAAAATTTAAAAACATTGGCATATTATACAAAGAATGTAATAACTTAAATCATAATCCTTTATATTTTGAAATCGGTTTAGTTCAGAAATTATAAACATGTTCATTAAGGGTGCACACGAGAGGATCATGTAAACTTCAGAATTTAGAACCTTATTTTTAGGCATTATCTTGGCTACCTATTTAGGCTCGAAAAGCAAAAAATATCAAAAAATACAACTTGAGTCCATTATGACCCTTTCATGGAGGTGGTTTTTATCCGCTAGTATTTTCCCTTTGAATCTCTTTACAATTCGAAATCAAATTCAAACCTCAGTAGAAGAAAGGAAGAATCGACTTACTACGGTTGTAATACGAATAAATACATATATTTAATTATTTTTATTTACATAATAATTGTTTGAAGCTCATATTCCATCAAATTTTTAAATAAAAACATTAAAATGTTGAAAATGTTCATATATTTTAATAGGGTTTTGGCACTTTATTGAGGAATTACTACATACATAGTCGAACTGAACTTGATATTTTGAAATTTAAATTATTTATCAAAATTAAAATTTAACTTGAAATTTATAATTATTTAGTCATATTTTGCATAATTCTAAGTAGATTTTGTAAAAAATCAAGAAAGAAAAATTTTAACGTGCTTTATTTTTTCTTTTTTATAATAATACATATTATCATATAATTAACATATTCATAATGTTTCACCCTTTCAAAAATATAATCCTCCTCCTCTCAAATAAACGTACATACGGGTGGCCTCTTTTTTCAAAAAATTAAAATTTGAAATTTTGGGCTCAAATAAAGGTAGTCTCACGAGAAAACTGACGATAAAAATTCGATGAAACCAGGTGCATTGTATAGTAAACATATGTGGTAAATAAATGTCGATTAGCTTTGTAAAAAATATCCCACAGTTTTTGAGATCTTGAAAACGGCCATTCAAAAAGTCGAAAATTTTCCCGAGTTGTTAATGGGCAAGACAGTTTTTCGACAAATAAATCGTAAACATGGGGATTAAAATAAGGCGTTATATTACATATATGGTAAAGGATATGGATGTGAAGAGCGTTAGTAGAATGGAAAGACTTTGAAATTTTAAAAAATTTATCTGGACTAAAAAATTATTTGATTATAAAAAACATATTATATATCAATTGCTATATAGAACTATCATAACAGATTTTGGAAAAGCCGCAAATCCCCAAGCTGGAGAATTCATTAAATACTAATTATTCAGCTTTTTATCGTAAAGGAAGGTAGTGTAGTGATTGGGAACAATATGCTCTTTTTGAATCTAAAAGGCAACTGTTCAAATCATAACATCTTTGTTTTTTTTTTTCTTATTCTGCCATTATTGTTTTTCCTTGTTATGATTCAAATTAAAAATATTTTAGTAAAGGTATTTTGGACATCATTTTTTCACATTGTCTCAATGCAAATGTTTGAAAATTTTGTAGGCAATATGACAACTCTTTCAACATTTGTTCTCTTTTATTAACTCAAACAGATTTAGGATCTAATTTCATGCCTTCGAAGACATTTAAACCATCTTCAACATAATTTATTGACAAATTGATAACAATTACTCATGAATGTCGTAGATTTAATATCCTGTCACTCAACAACAAATTCGGGTTCAATAACAAAGCTCAGTAAAAACTTTACAGAAATTCTCCAATTTATTTTAGTGTCTTTTTGCGTCATTACGGCTGCATTTTCTTCTGCATCTGAACGCTGTGTTTGGAAGAAGACGAAATACAGAAACTTTCAACACAAGTAATCAGATTTTCTTGTATTTCATGTTAAAATGCTTCATCTCGCTAGGTATACGTCATTTATTGGATGGATTGTTAGCTTTGTGTCCAAATAGCAAAAAAAAGTATTAATTTAAATTTCGCATTTTGCATAAGTATACGCTTTAATTTATATCAAAACAGATTTAGATAGCTTAAAACAATATAGTTTACTCATAAATACATCTTGATAATTCACTTCTTCAATTTTCATAATCTTATATCCTGACCTATATCCTCTTATAAACCATATTTCTACTGAGATCTTCTTAAAGCATCTTTTTATCCCTATCTACGCCTCGAAACCCTATTTTTCCGGCGGAATATGAATCTTCGGGTCTCGCTGATTCGATTTCTGCAGTCAGATCGTAAAAATACCCACTACATAGCCTGATAATCTCAATTTAAGTTCCTTAATTTTTTTGAAAAAAAAATTAAAACTCCCTTATCAAAAAAACTGAGGAAGTAGATTTGAGAGTCGAGAGTTTGGATCTTAGCAACTAGATCTGAGAGTTTTATCATTTCCGGCATATTGGGCCGAAAAGGAGTGATCCGCGTAAGTATGAAAAAAAAGTGAATTTTGTTGTATGGTGTTTTTTATTATATCCGTTTCTCTCACAATTTTCAATAAATATTATTGTTCAAACGGAAATATAAATAAACAATTCAAAAATAAAAATGTAAATGTAAATTGAAAATGTATTATAAACATGCTAAAAAGCGTATATTTTAAACATGCTAAAAATTCGAAAAAATTCTTAAAATTCAAAAATCCTTTAATTCCTGAGGATTTTGGAAAAAAGTTTTTACATGAACATGTGTATATTATATGAAGTATATTGATAAGGTAAAAATCAAATTTTATTGCATATTCATCGAGAAAATAAACTAACGAATCCCTCAAAATTGAGAGGGTAATCCTCCTCCTCTCAAATAAACGTACATACAGGTGCACCCTTAATAAAATTTCGCCAAAAGATAAGAATACTTTTAATTATTATTGCAAATATCAGAATGAGATAAATATAAATTGTTTTTTAAAGCCTAAGAATAATATTATTCAATTTCAAAAATCAGTTTTTTTATAACATATTTAGCATTGCAATAATGACTATTATACATCAATAGTATTCAAACTTAAATTGATTGAAATTGATCGAATTGAGGAAATTTAGTTGGAATTTAATGAGCTGTGATCATACGATGATATTATTTAAATACTCTATCTACAATTTAAAAATTGAATAGACATATATGAAAATGTGACAAATTTGAGAATAATTTAAAAAATTTAAAATGATTCTGAGCTCATCAAAATATTTTCATTAAAACTTAAATTATTAATCGTATTAATGTCTTTTCTTTCATATTATGATGAAAATTTTTCTAACATTTTTCAATTCAAAAAACATTCGTCTTTAACAATAAATCATAAAATCAATATTTCAAGCATATTTTACCAAACAATTATCACAGGCGTAAATTTGAAAGACTTATCAATTTAATTATTCAAATCTTTGATTTATGTTTTTGGATAACAATACCCATTCCACTCTAAATTCGGAATAATTTTTTGAACTTATGTTTTGAGAGCAAAATTTGTCAATTCTGAGGAATCTTATATTATAAATATAAACATCTGCATTTATATAATTCTTATTCAAAGAATTTATCCATCATATCTCTCGACTTTTGATAAAGTCCGCTCAAATTATTAACATCATTTATTTAGACATTTATCTCTTAAATCTATTCTAAACCATACAATGCTCAAGTCTTATCATTAATTATCGATATTTATTAATACATTTTCGAATTTGTTATATAAAACATCATTATATTACTTTCTCTTCTATTAGTTTAGAATTTCAATAAGTAAATGATTTCAAATTCATTAGTTATTCTATTAAATCTCATAAAATTTTATTGAATCTTCTTACAATATGTTTAAATTGCCGGTATCAATCATTAATGAATCAGTGTTTGGATGTTAACTTTCATACATTATCGTTCTATCGAGTGTTTTACTAAAATACAGTCTAAGTTCAACAATATTTTTCTAATTTCTTATCAAGACTATTTTTAGGAATAACATCGAAATTGTTCAAATTGTACTATTTATTTCTTTGAGAAAATCATTTTCTTCATTGAGTTATATCTGATATCCTCCAAATTTGCAGAATTTTTGAATAATAAAGAGTTATTTCCTATTTCCGAATCAAATTAAATACTAATAACTAACATATAAAATCATAAAAGCCTGTTCGTTGTAGGTCTCAATTTTTCAAACCTGAAAAGTGATTCTGACATATGAATTATTTTGATCAATGTCTGTAAATTAACAAATCACAATGAAGTTGATTAAAATTTGAAAGATCTCAAAATGAAAAGCTATCGTTAATTTATAAACAGTAAATTATTTGCATTGTAATTATTTAAAAATTTTACTTAAATAAAATTTTGAATTTTTCATTCAAATTTATTTATTTTTTTTTAAATTCATATTAAAGCATAATATAAAATCTTGACATAAGGGTTTCGTTTTGCGAAAAAAACGTACAATACGCAATTTCGCTAAAAAACATTTAGCTAGCAATTTCGACCTTTGACTCCACTCAAGACGTCACTTTTTTAATTTTGCGGTATCATATTTTTGGAAAATCTTTATGAATATTATATAAAAAGTCTCTTTAATATCTATATTTCATATTTTTATCGATTTTTAAAGTTTTTGCGAAAAGTATTCAATTATTTTTGCTATTTGGTCGGGTAAATGTCAGATTTGCGACATTTTCTGATATGATATTCAGATTCTACGTTGATAATAATGCATATAGAACCCTCTTGCTATTGTGTCAAAATTGCGAAACCGATAGCAAAAATATCTCGCAATATCAAAATTGAGATATTGAGTGAATTATGCATTATAGAGATTAAAAATCTGATTTGTGAAAACATCTCATCAGTTTCTAGCTAATTCAAAAATCTTTACTATCTTATTCGATTAAAATGAAAAGGGAATAGTTTCATTATGCTTTAAATGACAGCCTTATAATATAATCATAGTTTTCGCTCAATATGCAGCATTTTTTTTTCGAAATCTATGGTCAATATCCTAAATACTGATTGCTTTGCATTCATATCTCTTACATTTTCTATACCCACATCACTATTCATTGCTATTCCTATCTTTTTCATTTTTGTTTGTTTCTCATAATTTCTCAAAAAACATGATAACTTGATATTTGTAAATATCATACTTTATAACGTAAATAAGAACTTGACCTATTAAGAAAAGCAGTAATGAAAAGAAAATCTGAAATTCATAAAAATTACAAGTTTCTGATGACAATTAGCTTAATTAAACCAGGTACAAGATTATATAATTGTATTTTCTATCCAATTATCCATATAATATCTTATCCAGAAAAAATAACTTGATCAATACCAAATGATTTTTTAACTAGTAAATAAAGTATTTTCTTTACACACACATTGTATATCATAGTTTTTTTTTGGTTTCGCAAAACATCCAAAAACAAATATGCTATAAAAGTGACAATTTTAGCAAAACGAAACCCTTACTTGACAATTTTAATTTCGTATTCAATTTTTGTTAACTATGCTTTCAAATTTTTGCAATCGTTTCCTGTAAGTTTGTTTATTCCTAAGAGTCAATTCATGCAAAAAATTATCGTCACTTTTTTAATTTTTCGCATTGTTCTATTTTTTTCATTGGCTCTTTTCGACAAAATTTTTTGTTTCTGTGGATCCTCCTGGGGAGCTATCAAATACACTCAAACAAACATTTTATAAAGTCCACAGAATTACCCAAAATAAAATTCCTGACATTACTATTTCCAGGTTTTCTATTAATGGTCGAAAATCATGCGCTTATAACTTTTTAGAGCCATATTATATATATGAAAGAACAAATTCGACTCAAGATAATAAGCAAACAACTTTTTACGAAATTTATAACACTCAGCTCATCCAGAAATATACAAAATTAGGGTATTCAATTACAAATGACTTAAATTCAAATTCATCGCTTCTGATTTCTTCTATTCCAGTCAATTTTTCAGATTATTCATTTGTCAACGAGTCTACAATACAAAGTGTTATATACGTCAGCACGCAACGTTATGTTTTATGTCATAGAATAACATTTAGATCATTTATACGCAATTTTAATGAAAAATATCAAAAAATTTTATTATTTTTTGTAATAATTTGCATGGTTTTTCGTAGAATTCCATTAAAAATACAAGCATTGAATGGAGAAAGCTTCTATCTTATGTTTACTTCTACATCTGGCCACTTTCTTTCACCTCTTTCTGAAAAAATTCCAATTGAGATACGAGAAGTCATTATTAAGAACGTACATGATCCGAAAGAATATTCTAACAACCATACGATCTATATTAAGAACAAAGAAGGCATTTCTGAAGCTTATAAGATCATTACAAAATATCTTGGCTTCGGAATCATCCAATGCCTTGTTATTCACAAGATTACACTCTCAAATGACTTCGAGGGCGAGTCTGTAGCCGCCGGATCCGTTTATTCATGTTCAATTTCTGATGAAAGGATTCCGACTCAAGCAAAGCTCAAATTCAACTACAACATGGAGCCAAGTATCTCTTTCGATGTTGTCGCCGATCGAATTCCCTGCAAAATCACGATAAAACCCGGTGATGATACAAATTTAAGTTTGGGAAGACAGTCATTGGAAATTGAGAAGATTATTTCAATACAGGAATCGATAATGAGACAAGGACTCAAAAATAAACCGAGTTTGTCACTTTTTTATCGATTATTAAATGAAATCCATACGAGAGGAGGGTTTACAGCTGTTGCCATATATATGATTGATGATAACGAGATCTCCACAGTGTATTCTTACATAGAGAACCCGAAGTTTAATGAAATTTTCCTTCAAGACGTTAAAAAAATTTCAAAAAATAATTTTAAAAAGAGTGATTTCGTTGATGGAACGTTTATTCGATACAGCATGTTTAACCAACGTGTTGGAATACACTCAATCGACGTCGAGAAAACGAAATATGTCTGTTTCTTGGCCGCGCCAGCTGATTCTCACATTATTCGAGGTATAGAGTTAAATTTACACGCCGTTGTAACGATGCTTATTGTTTATAATCATACGAAGATTTGCAGGAAGGAATTATCAGCTGATTTGCAACATTTCATTTATATTATGAAATCTGCAGGGAACATCGCGTATTTCGAGGATATCGATGGCAAAATATTATCTAAGACAGGAACAATGTTCAACAAAGAGTTTGAAACAAAGATATTTGATGAAATGCAAAAAAAGTTAGAATTATGCGTTGATATCGCTATGAATGAGACTTTATGTATTATAATGCCAATATGGAATACTCCTAGTGATAGAAAAATCATTTCTATCCTTAGAAGATTATCTCATGATAATTTATTGAACAAAGATGTGTTTACTACTGTTATTCAGGACATAACGGATATCTACTCCAAGTCTGTCTTTGATAATATGCCTATTCTCGAGTCAGTTCTCGGTGGAGTGATGATGCACTTCTCTAGAGTACTCGGAGATGACTTTTCCATCGAGAATCGGACTACTGTTAAATCGTTCTTGCATGAATTACCTCCAGAAAACTTCTCTTCCTTTACATATTCCTTAGAAAATAAAATATTACAAGAGTTTAAGAAGGAACGGAACCCAATGTTCCGGATTTTCCGCAAGAACTTCATCCCTCTTACATGTTCTTCAGTTCCGATTGGAGAAAAAGGAGATTTCTTTTTTTATCCACAGCCAGGCCTCGAAAAATCGATTCCTTTACTTATTACGTCATTCATAGGGAAGCGGAAAGAAGAAAACTACAAAGAAGTTCGCTTCTGTATGATGGATTTAATCCGAGATTCATTTCTTGACGTAAAAATTCCATCTACATCGATTTCCAACATTTCCTGGGAGATCCCACCATCTCTCAATGACTGTCCGAAGATAATTAACCACATAAAGTCAATGGCCGGCGTTTTTTACGAAAAAGATATTCCGAATTTCTTCAAAAGTGTCACGGAATCATTCCAATATGGTAAATCCACGATCCTTGTTAAACTCCATGAAGATTTCTGTATCAGGGATTTCTTAGTTACTGTCCAATATTCAGTTGCTGTTTTAACAATTGTTTTCATTTCATTTGAAGAAGAAAACAGTTTGTCATTGATTAGTTCTATGACTAAAACAGCATTAGACCCAATCAATCCAACAGGACACATATTCCCGTGGATCTACAATTACGGAGATTCCGGTGATTGTATCTATCAAAGTAAACCAGGTGGTTTGAAACCATCTCGTTTCAGTGATACAAGTTTTGTTCACGTTGTTTGTCGTGATCACAAGATTTTGCTTCGTAATCAGTTGGATTCCGGTAATTGCGACTGCATCATTATATTGTCATACGACCATCCCGCATGGTATTACGTGAAAGGACGTCGTGTTGGCGATGAAATGCACGGAATGTGTTTCATGATTCCTTCTGAGTACTTGTTTTACGGGAATTCAAAAGATCCAATCAAAGGAATCGTTAACACTCTGAAGAAACTTCACGAACGAATTGACTTCGATTTCCTCTCTGTCAAAGAAGAGATTCAATCAATTCTCGTCAACTATTACATAGAATAATTATTTTATATATATTTGCTTGTTTTTTATTTATAAAATGTTTATGTAATCAAAATTTAACATTTTTAACTTATAAGTTAATGATTATAATGTAAATTAATAAACGTTCCTAGTTTATAAAATGTTTTGTAGTCGAATTATTAATATTAGAATGCGAAGAAATGTCCCTTCCATGCAGACTAAAATTTCTTCCATTTTAAAGTTATGCTGACTATTGAGGTTGCATAATTTATTAAAATGAAAAACTTAAAAAAGTTGGAAGATGTATTTCTGATTTGAAGGCTTTTTCCATGGCACTCTGAGTTTAAAATTATGTTTTGAAGCAAATTTAGCATGTTTTGAAACATCTAATAAAAAAATTGAAAGAGAAGATGAATTTTGTCATAAGGAATTGCATCTTTGCATAATATAATAGCATGGTTTACCAGAAACCGTGGAAGAATTAAACTTGAAGAGTTTTAGTAATGTAATTACAATTTTTGGAAGAATCGGAATAGATGAATAATGAATTTCTTTTTATATTTTTGAAATGCTATAATGCAGAAAATTATGATATATCGCAAATTTGGTTCCATTAATTCAAGGCAAAATATCAAATATTGATTCACATATTTTCCACAGAGACACAAAAAATCCAAAATAGTAGGAAAAATGCATTCCTCTCCCACTTTATTACTTTTTCTTCTAATTCAAAATATAAATTATCAATTGATCCAGAAAAAGACATTCTTTGACTAGAAGTAGGGAAATTTCTAGAATTTACTTCAAAAGAATCAACTATATCCAGATTGCTCCATATAACATTTACGATTATTCCTATAGATATTCAACAACACAATAAATTGAGAGAATTCTCAAAATTGGGAGGTATGAAAAAAGAACCTTAAATGCGGGTCAACTATTCAAAGATATAGTTCCAGTTGTCTAAGTGTTCCTGGATCAACAATTCTATATGAATTCAATTCATTATCAATTTCAACAGCGGCAACAATTTCAACAGGAGGAGATATTATTTTTATGATTTCTCTTTTAATTTGATACTTTGGAGTCTATTTATTTGGACTGAACTATATGGGCATAATTGAACAAATTACATTGATTATCAATCATTTAGAAGAGATCTTTTCTCAGGTAATTATTTTAAGGTTAAAAACGAGAAGCGGTTTTAATTTGGGGTGGAAAGCATCAATGTGATAGAGATGGATGTAAATGAGCGGCCAAAATACAGAATTATATATGTACAATTGCACAAATTACCTTAATTGTCAACCATTTAGAAGAGATCTTTCACCAGGGAGATACAAACTTGAAGCATGGGGTGCACAAGGAGGCAATGTCACGTATGATGGAACATTATATGAAGGCGGTAAGGGTGGTTATGTCAGTGGTGAGCTCGATCTTACTCAGCAAACAACTCTTTTTATTTTCTGTGGTGAAATGGGAACTACTGAACAAGGAACATATCATCCAGAATATGGTAGTTTTTCTGGATATGAGACACGAAACACATTTGGTGGAGGAGGGCGAGGGTATGGATATACAGGTACTAAATTCTATCCATCATCAGGAGGAGGGATGAGTTTCATTTCGATTAGCGAAGCTAAAAATGAAAGTGGAATTCTTTTTGCCGGTGCTGGTGCTGGATCTGGTGCTGGATCAATAAGATATACATATGGTGGATATGGAGGAGGAGTTTCAGGAGGATCTGGATCACCCTGTGGAAATACGTGTGGTTCAGGTGCCACTCAAACAAGTCCTGGAACAAACACTCAAAATTCTGTCAGAAAAGGTGGCAAATTTTATGGAGGAAATTGTGGACAAGATGCTGGATGGTCTACAGGAGGTGGTTCTGGTTATTACGGCGGTGCTGGTGGAGGTGGTGCTGGTTCTTCTGGAGGTGGGGGAAGTTCATTCTTCGATACTTCATTTATCAAAAACGGAAAAACAATTGCAGGTTACGAAGAAATGCCTTCACCTTTTTCACTGACAGAAAATATCACTGGAAACCGAGGTCATGGATACGTCAGAATTACACCTCTTTGTGGCACTGCACCTTTACCCCGTTGTCGTGTTAAAAGATTCACATTTTTCCATTCCAAAAAAGGTTTGATTAGAATTCTCCACATACGCACATGTTGGAAATAAGTGAGCTATATACATATATTAATACTGAGTCTTAAAGCTAATTTACACAAGATTTGAAATTATTCTTAACTAATTCATATGAACCTAGCTTTGTTAATTATCATATATTTACATATGAGTACAATGAAATACCTTATCCTATATTTATATGTTTAATGAGAGCTAATCCAGAATAAGATATAAGAAATAATTTGAACTGTGAGAATATTCTGTGTATAGTATGTTATTATGGTTTAACGAAATGAGTATATGAGATATTAATGTATTAAAATATTCTGCTAAGCATTTTGAGTATTCTGAATCATTGATATGTTAAAATAATGTACTTTCATTAATGTAAGTAGAGTTACAATTCTGTAGAGCAGAATTTTATATTCCCTGAACTTGAGATAGTTAAATTAATATAAGAATTTTGATTTGAAGTCATAAGATAATAGGTTTGACACTTTTTACGGGCTTATAAAATAAGCCCGAAAAAAGTATCAGAACCTATTAAAATATGTATTCACACTTTTTATCGGCTTGAAGTTTCTCAGAAAAAGTGTGAAACATATTTTGAATATTTTTTCTTTACTTTTATAAACTTTATAATTTAACATACTTAGCATTTTATTTTTTTTACATTAGATTATTTACATGTCATATTTAGTTTACATGTCAAAAATATGATGTTTCTTGGATTTTTGTTATTAATCCAAGATTCACATATTATAGCCATAGACATAGGTGTTGATGGTTTTCGTGTTGCATTGCCTAGTAAGGATGACAATGTTTTGATCATTAGTTCTCCAGAATGCAAAGGTTTGTTTCCAACAACTCTCGAGATTTCACCAATCAAAGGAAACATTCCGAAAACGATAAACCACTCAAACATACATAATCTCCGCTTTAAATTCTTAAGTCCGAAAGATCATATCAAAAATCCAAATTCCACAATCCTTCATCCAACAAATTTCTTGTGCAGACTTTCATCACCGGAATTTATGCAACAGACATACAAACGTAAATATTTACATCGAAAATCTTTGTATTTGAACTCATATCACGTCACTAGTGGCTTATTACCACAAATAGTCACATCAACAGTATTAGCACGTATCAAATCAGCATTTGATCAAAATGAATTCGATATTGGAAAAACAATTATCACAGTTCCTAAATTTTGGGTGCAAAATCAACGAGAAACAATCTATCATCCAGCCAAAAAATTAAATTTACATCCTACAATTATCGATTCTAGCTCTGCAATTGGCGCACATCTCGCTAGAAAATATCGAACTTTTTTATCTAAATTTCCACACAGAATTCTTGCAATAGAGATTGGTATTTCGTCATGTGAATCCACAATCTTCGAATTTACACGCAAAGAAACACTTTTTGCACATGAATTAAGTTATTATTGGACAGACCAAGCGGGAACACGAGATTTCGATTGTGCAGTTGCAGATTTACTCCAAAAGATCACTAAAACACCATTAGATCCAGAAAATGAGATCCTTAGACTTGAAGAAGCGAAAACAATCCAGAAATTACTTCGAAAGAACGAAACTGTCTCAGGATATTACAATGGCATCCCATATAAGATCACCCGCAACCAAGTAAAGTCAGTTTGTGAAGAATATTTCAAGAAAATTTTACATATGATCGATCGACAGTTTTTAATTGTTCCAAACATCGAAATTGACCTTGTTGAGATCATTGGATCCGGTGCGAAACACTTTGCAATCTATGATCTGTTGAAAAACGTCTTTGGCGAAAATCGAATTAAAATTGATCATCATCCAAAGGATTACATCGCAATTGGAGCATGTGTCATGCCAATACAGAATGTCTCCATTGATTACTCCCCTTTGTATCCAACAGAACTCATCCAGGACAAAAACAGAGTTTTATTTGTTGGATTTAAATGGGTTAACCCATTTAAGTCAGGAACAGTTCAAGTCGGAGTTCCTGTAGAACACAGAGTTCCTATCGGAGTTCCTCACATTTATTTATGGGGCCAAGTCACAGAAAATACGGTTTTTCGACGAAATCCGTCCCAAATTTTGAAATTAAAGGACTCAAATAGGAAAGTGAACATTCCATGGCTCGAAGAAACACTTAGGACTACACAATACATCGTAAACTTCGTTGACGAACGAGATAAAACTCGAAATTTCTATGAAAATTCTTCATCTTTTTTTGATGAGATAATTGATGATATCAGGGATGGAGAAGATCTTTGTGTGGTCATGCATCAACTGGAAAGAGACGAAATTGTTGAAAAACTTTTGGAAATTAAAAGAAAATTTAGAAGTAGAACGGATTTCACCATGAACGAGATAGACAAGATGATCCATGAAGCATATGATGTATACAGTCCACCGAAAAAGAGGTTGGAAAACAGATTAACCATTCTAAAAATGATTGACAAATATTATTCAAGAATTTATAGTATTTTAGAGGAACTTTCTGCATCGTTGTCATCTATCAAGACTATAAAACTGAATAATCCACTCGTAGAAGAGCTACTTCGACCTGCAGCGGAATTTCAACTTTGGCTCGATGAGAAAATGAATGCTTTTTATACAAGTGACCCAACAACTTGTCCTAACTTATGGTGGTTCGATATTGAGAAGAAATTGGATGATCTCGAAGCACTTTATAAAACTAAGGTCAAAAGACTGCGTGAAACTTATCAATAGAGTTATAATTGTTTTTATTAGACTAAAATGTTATATATAAACTATAAATGTTTTTCTCAAATTGCTTTTTTTATCTAAATTTTGATATTTCAGCAGGTGTCATACAATTCCGATTAGTTTTTACATGACATTTATAATAAGTATTCAATTGCTAGAGCAATATATTGTTCCTATAAGCAAATGCAAATGATTCAATATAACAAAAATTTATTTATTGTCGTAGCTTCAAAGATTCTATGAAATATGTGAATTGCAAGAACATGACAATCATATATTCGAGTCAGAATAAGAAATTAAAATAATTTATAATGATCGGGATTTTTATTATTTTTGACGTGGAAATTCAATATTTTGTGAAAAATTGACATTTAACACGGAATTATTTTAAAACGAGTAACAATTATCCAATTAGATTTTTTTCTAAGATTGCCAGATAAAATAAATAAAAACATTCTAATGCGCATTTTGATCTACAATAAAGCAATTATTATGCCTGACGGTTTTTAATTTTAATTATTTTTCTGACTTTATCTATTATTTCATTATTATTTTGGAGGCAGATAAGATTAGATACTGAGTTACAATGTCCTTTTGCCAAAAATCTTATTTTTCATGAAAAATTTTGAAAATTTATCGAAAGAACAAAATTATTTAACAGTATAAACAATTAATATAATTACTTCTGAGCTCTTGGAGCGACAGACATGATCTTGCTCATGAACTGCTGGAAGTATTGTAACTCAGACTCCAAAATCTTGTTTTCAACAGAGAGTTGGAGAGCCTGGCTCTGCAAGTCGAAAACTGTCTTTCTAAGGTGATCATTCTCATCCTCTAATGTTGATAATGATTGGTCTTTTTTGGCTCTCCACTTCTGGGCAGCGAGACGATTGCGCTCCTTGTGGTCGAGCTTCTGTTGGGTCTGCTGTGGTGACTGTGGAGCTGGAGCTGGGGGAACCTGGAGAGGGAATTGTGGATTAAGGAACTCATTTGGTCTCTTCTTAAGGGGTGGCATGATGTTCATGAGGGCTGCACGGAAGTCCATTGGGTCTGGCATTGGGGTGAATACACCAACTGGGGACTGGGTCATTGTCTGCATCATTTTTCAGATTTTTTGATTGCAATTTCATGTTAGGTGACTTACGCAAATTCGCGTCATTATCACATCACAATTAATAATTACCCTCTCAATTTTTGAGAACATATTACGCGTATTCGCGTCATCTAACACATCACATCGAAATGCGAAAAATGATTCGATTAGCAATCACTTTTTATTTACGATTTACTTGATTTTGAGTAATCTATATCTACAACCTATATACATCATTATTTTTATGATCCAAGAAAACGATCGCTATTTCTATCAAAAATTTACTTCTGATCGAACAAAAATCCAACTTCTTTTAGAGTCATATGAGTGCATAATACAACGAATTATTTAAATAATGTACGATAAAATTTTATATGTAAACCTTTGAATTAAAAATTTTTCTATGCGTATTGAATCTAATCTAATAAACTTTTTAACTTTCGTAAGCCTTTTCCTTATTCTATCATAGGACACTGAATATAATGTAATGGATCGAATGTGTTTTCCTGAAAAATAAAACCAGTTTGATCTTAGATTTGTCATCTCATGGCCGTGATCCAATTTATTGGTATCTAGTATAAATTATAAATAGTCTAAAATATCAATTTTGTTTCATTGATGCAAAAATATCACTGAGATTCTTTGCATTTTCTCAATTTTCCGTAAGATCACACAGTCTACTTAATATATGATTTTATACACCGAATATCACAAATTGCATAGATTTTATTAATAGTTCCTTTATTTACCATTACTGAATTTATATTACAGAGGGAATTGGATCCATCTTAATGATCTAGTTGCTAAAATTACTTAAATATCTGCAATTCCATGAATTTAGGTGCCATTTGGTGTTATGTTGATAAACTTTCTAGATTGATTCTTTAAAACATGAGAAACAACAATTAATACTCGACTAATATGAAATATGAGTCCATAGCTAGCAAAAGACTATGAATTGTTTCGCTCAATGTGGAAGCTAAAAATGCTCATTATGGACATTATGAAGCCATCCTTTAATATTTAAGACAAGAGTGCAGTATAGCCAGAATATCGTCATGATATATTCAACCGCACATTTTGAGAACATTGTGCTTTATTTTTGAATTATGGCTTTTCTTTGAATCATAAATTTACATTCTTATTATGAGTTTATTCTATATCGCTAAAATTTATTATTTGACTAAGATAACCTGCTTCATTTAATGGAATAATTTTTATTTCTATGATATATGTCATATATCCTGACAACATCAAAAAGAGACAGATGAATAAAAGAAGGCTCTCTGTAAGGAACGGACATATAGCATATCCAATAGATTTGAAAAGTATCTAAGGAATTTTAAACTCATTCTTTAAGAAGATAACCACGCGCAATATGTGTTACCGATTCTCTTACTCAAACATGATTTCTCCACTTTTTTTCTGATCCTTTCCAGAATTTTTTTTTCAGAAAAAAATGAACAACGAAGATGATTCATATTATTCAGTGCTTTTGCATCTTTTCATTATCAACTACATGGTTGTCATAATACCTGCATTAGGATTGTTAATAGGATACATAGTACATTTCATTTATCACCCAAAAGTTTTCCGAAGTTTTCCTTACATCACAGATTTAATGAAATACCAACCAGAAGGCAAAACAGTTAATATAGCATTATCTATTACATCATTAGTTCTTTTTATAATCAATTATACAAGAATTAAAGCAATCCGAGTTCTACGTAGGTTGAAACCAAAAATGAGCGAAAAGAAATACAAGCCAGCAATGATGACACTGACAATTTCCGGATATATTAGCGTTTCAGCTCATTTTTTAATGACTTTCTTTTCTGCCAAAGAATTCTCAATTCCGCATAGCATATTCCTCAACATCACTTATATAAGCGGCGTAGTCAATATGTTTGCAACAGATATAACTCTAAAAACGATTTATTTATCTTCCAAAAATTTCTCAAGAGTTTTATCAATGATTAGCTTCGCTGTCGTTCTCTCTTTCACTACATTACGATATTACGTACCATTGGATCCAGAAGACACAATTAGACTTACAATTGCTAATTTATTTGGAATCTTTTCATACATCTGCTATTATTTGAAGATTTTCTTAGTTAAATATGATATTCCGGATATAGGAATACGTGTTTCTCAACGTATTAAATTTTAGTTTAATATAAATAAAAATTTGTGTGTAATCAAGTTAAAAATCAACATTCTTTCTTCAGATATGCCTTTTTACCCATTCTTTTTATTTCTTTTTCATTTTATAATTTAATTTTGAAATTTCAATTCAAATGAAACATAAGTAATTTGATTTAATGATGAAATTAATAGTTCATTAGCTCATATTTCATATATCCAATGAACCATTGCCTACACGTTATTTATTCTCTGTTGATGTTTATCAAAGATTCAAATTAATGTATAAGGAATGCGATTCATCATATTTTAGCTATAATTTAACATTCATGAGTTATAAACTCAATGAAATGTAATTCTTAGAAGATGTATCGAAGAAATTTAAATTTTTATGGAAATTAAAAAAGATTTTTAACTATTTTGAAACTTGTCTAGACATAAAACATAATAAAATATGTTTATTCAATAACTTATGGAGGCCTAATCTATGATTTAGAACTTGATCCTAAGTCATCCCTGGAAACCTCCTTTGTGTGCTGAGATGCCGCCTTCAACTCTCTTTCCGCCATAGCTGACACCGATAGATGGACCACGCTTTGAGTCATATCCGGGACTGCCAGACCAGCCTCTTCCGAAATCTCTGGAAACACCAGCAGACCAGCTGTGTGGAGCCTTTTCGCCACTGATTGTCCATGAGCCGAGTCAGTTAGTATACAAGTCTTGTGTACTGTGGCACTGCGTTCCTCCATACACAATACTTGTGAATTTGACACTTTACAAAACCGTTAACGTATATTTTACAACACAAACACAAACACCAACTTAACCTTAAATATTTATAAAGCCGCCAACCACTTCACCTCACTAACGACTTCACTAACGAATTCACTAATGTTTTCACTAACGAACTCACTACTGTAAAAATAAACGTTCTCACTTACAAAAGTATTGCAACTCTTCCCATTGCTTTGCTTCACACAACAGTTCATATTCTTCAGTATCGCTGCTGTCACTCCAATCGTCAGAGTCAAAGTCACTGTCAAAATAAATGTTAGTAAGTTTTGACAAAGCTAATGAAACACGTTTACCGTTTGTATCGTATGCTTGTATAAACTTTCCATTCTTCATTCCTTCATAAACGCTCAAACTAACTTTACCCTTTCTCCCTCGTATCTGATAGAATGTATTTTCACGAGGAACGAAGAACAAATTCTTGAACTCATGACCGTTGTAGTTTGTTATCTCAATAGTTTTCGTCATTTACATAAAAATAAACGTTCTCGCTAAATAATAAAATAAACTTAAAAATTAATGATATCACCACCCTCACACGTATGAAAACATAGCACAAAAATAAATTTAGGTGAAGTGGTGAGATGTCACCTCTTTTTTCACCTCTTTTTTCACCCGTTGAATTCATTGCTTTATAACTCTCTTCCTTGGTTTCTTTTTAGTTGCTTTCTTCACGTCTGTCTCCAGCTTAACTGTCTTTCTTCTTCGTCCGTAATGATACCAGTTACTTCCACCAGTCAATGGGTCAAATGGTCTTTCGTAAGGGTTTCCATACATTCCATAGGGACCATACGGAAGAACTACTGGTGGAGGAAGAGTTCCATCGACTCTATTTAAATGCATTGTTTCACCTTTCATCTGGTCATTAAAGTCTTTTGCATGTTTTGCAAACTCATCGTCCTTTCCTAAAGCATTTTCTGACTCAGTCGCAACCAAATTGGATGCTTTATTTATGAGCCCTATTTTATTTAATCTTAACTTCTTTGCAACCCAGCCTCCAATCTTTCCTTTATTTGCATCTAATGTCTTCGAAACTCTTCCTCCACTCATTTTATTTACTGCGTCATAAGCTCCAAGTGCTTTTGCTCCAAATGCTAATGCTTTTGTTCCCATTGCGCCTAAAGCTGCCCAAGCTACCATTTACACCATATTAAAATCATCTCTCTTCAATATTATCTCATAAAAGTTCTCGTTACTGGAGAAAGTCAATGAAACATAAACATTCTCATGGACTTCGTCCTCGCCGCGTTGCGGCTTCATAAATTTCTTTCTTATATCATCTATTCGCTTCAAAATGTCTGAACAATTGCTAACATCTTCTACAACAGTTATTTCATCATGAATGACCTTCAAGAACAAGCTCATTTAATATGCTATTAAAATCATCTCAATAATGAGTCCATCCTTTCCATCTTTAGGTAGCACAACATCTTTCATTGAAGAAGGTTCGACAAGTCTTATGTTAAACTTACTGACAAAGTTTGTTATACTATAATGCTTCGGTGGCGAATACATATAGTTTGAAAGACATAATATAGATTCTTCAGCAAATTCACTTATACTGGATTTTATAACAATGTTCTCACGAGACCAAATACCACCAATTGACAATCTTGTAAGCAATCCTGCTGAACCTTCAACTGTAAACGTCGATGGTAACATTCCACGAAGGTCATCTATTGACATCTTTGAGTCACTGAATTTAAATATTTTCTTAAAGCAATCGTCATTATCTAACCATGCAATAGCTTTGAAGTTTTCATTCGAATATACATCTGCTTCATTAAATGTAAAACCTGACTTCTTTGCAGAGACGACTTTAAAATCTATTGAGTTTGTTTCAAAATTATATGCTATGCTAACTTCTGAAGGTAATGGATGTCCTTCCGCAGTCAGTTGTTCTCTCACTACCGTTTGAAGCTTTGTGTTAAAAACTTTCATGTCATCTCCTGTGTCTAGGTTCACATACACAGCAACAGGAAAACTATCTTGCTTCTTTGTTTCATCATTATACCTCAAAACATTAAAGTTCTTCAATAATATTGTTCTTCCTGCTGGAATACTTCTAACTTGTCTTATTTCAATAGCTTTCTCACCTCCTACATACTCTACCCAGTGTCTTGGATATTCATAAGTATACTGACTTTCTTGAATTTTGGTAGGTTTCATCATAACGTGTTCATAGTATATCTTTATACTCTTGTCAGTTAGACTCGGTGCTATGTTCTGAATATTTCTGACTTGCATTTTTAATGGAGATAAAATGAAGCATTTAATACATGACGTAGATGAAGACATGAATGAAACTACAGACAAACTTAACTTCTCTCATTCTTCCTTTCAGTAAGGACTATGAGTTCTGTTCAAATGGGTTTATTTCTATTGTGGAAAGATGGGTTCAGGTAAGACATTTTCATTCGTCATATACTCATAACAGACGTTTAGGAAATGACTCATATTATGACCAAATCATTATATCAGCAACTTCAGACTCTATGGACTCAACAGCGAAAACATTTATGTCAAAAGTTCAAGCCTCTGTCGTTAAAGTTCCAGACAGTGAACTCATTGAATTTCTTCAACGTTACATTCGACGTAAGAGGAAATATTATGCCATCGTTGAATTTATACAGTCAGGAATGCAAAAGACTTCTGAGGAGATGGAAAGAATTATTGACAAACACCACTTACGTCAGTACTCAGGAGTTTACGATATGAAACGACTTACAAACTACTGTCAAAACTTTCAAAATACCCCTTCAAAAATATCCATCAAACACTTTGACGACTTCGCCGGAAAAGGTTTAGTGTCAAAGCCTGACTCACCATTAGCTAACATCATTACTAAAGTCAGACATTACCACTTAACTGTAGCAATACTTATATGGAGGTTTTTAGCTTTAAACATAAAACGTCTCATAACTGACTTCGTTATCTTTCAAGGTTTCTCACGTTATGATATTGAACTCATTTGGAAACAGTCAGGTATAACATTACCTTTTGAAGAAATTTGGGAAGCATATAAGTCTCTCATCTCTCCTCGTTCATACCTTGAGATTCATATCATGACTAATACCATTAAAGTCAAAAATATTCCATGGGAACGACCAACATTGTTTTAAAGTTTAACCTTCAATTGACTGATGGTAAACAAATTCCATGCATCTCTGTCGCCATTTCTGTTAATATTTTTGCTGTCATTCATATCATCCACTTCCCCATCCGTTAACTTTTGAGGATATGCGTTAGAATAGCTGTTCTTAAATGAAGGCTTTTCACCTTTGAGAGCATAAACTCTATAACTTTCTGCATACTTTATGTTTGAACCTCCTGAGCCATCATTGACATAAATTTTTATAGGCTTCCACCCTTTGTTCATGTTCCTGCTTCTTCCCTTTGCTCTTTTGTTCAGTAGTTCTACATCTTTATACACAGCTCCTGTCTCAGTGAATTCAACAATATTTTCATTCGTTAGCTTTACATTCAAACCCTTGTCGAGTATATTGTTCATTTCATACATATAAAAGGTTTTTATTCTATATGAAATGAGAAGCAAATCCATCTTAGCTGGTGCCGTTAATGTTCCAATTGAACCAACATCAAATGTTGACTCACGAACGACAAACAATATTGTCATAAAGAACTATAGTTCAGAGTGTTTGAAAGAACCAGAACTGAAATCCGTGAATTTAAACTCAGCTTCAAACGCTAACGCTACATCAGATGTTAAGTTAGAGTATCCACCACTGGACCAAATTCTTTCAAGAGAAGCCAACGACAACCCTTACACAAATGTTCAAACAAATCCTTCAGATAACGTAGACCATTACCTTCTTCAGTTATACCAAACAATTTTACTCAAAGACGATAAGAAGCTTTTGATAAATCTTATAAGCAAGAACCAAATAATTCTAACAAAGGAGGACCTTGAAAATGTTATCTTACGAATAACAGGGAAACAATGTGTCATTGACTATCTCGACCCTGAAATCGAATGCTGTGGTCAAACGCCACCATTCATGAAAATAGGTAACATCCGCATCATTGAAACACCAGGAACTACAGGAGTTGAGTTTAAGTATAAATATTCGAACGAGTATACAAAACTTTCAACAGAATATAAACTTTGTTTGAAATATGTTTTAGTAAATTAAAGCAATTTGTAATATCTGTCCAAAACTTCTTCAACACTATCGAACTCATCTTCATAATGCAAACCTAATCTTATTGACTTGGTGCAGTTCTCACTAACACAATATAGCGCTTTGCGCTCGGCGCCTTTGACGCCTTTTTCTGTTCTCTTGACTGACATAACTAATTCATTTGTTTCATCAAACAGCAACAACCAAAGTTCATGACCTAATACATAACATTCATACTTTATATTTTTAGCTCTGAGTTCTCTTGTAAGCTGTTGCATTTAATATTTTCTAAAAAGTCAACTTCAACAGTCATTCGCACTGGTGCCTTCAGTTCTACAGGCTCCTTGAAAGTCAACAAGTCTGAATTGCATGTCTTTCAAATTATGAGGACTAATGCGAATCCATTTACCTAAATGAGTTACTATGACAGGAACGTTTGGAATGAACATTGAATTGACTGCATAACAGAAAGACTTATATTCTACTGAACCTTTACTATTAACTCCTGAAATGCCTGTGACATTAGCTATTTTTGACTCAACGTATAAACAATTACCATAACATACGTATGGAACAGATTTCATCTCAATCGTTTTGTCAATACTTTTCAAAGGAAATGTCATATGGTATGCTCCCAGAAGAAGTTGAACTCTATGACTCATTCGTGTTATCTTAAACTCCTTCGCATAACTGAACTTCAAAACTCCTGCAATAAGTTTAACATTCATTAAGTTTTCTTCGTTCTCCTTGTTTATTGTAGTATTTATGAGCGCATTTAACACTCCAGCTAATGTTTCCATCTTATATTCTACATTATTGTGAAATCTTATTTCATGCTTCTTTCCATCTATTTCAAGCTCCATGAAATCTGTTTCATCTGTTATAACGAATGAAGCGATAGTATTGAAGTCAACAACTCTGAAAGCAAGTGCTTCATTCTGTAGACCTAAGTTTGTTTGAAGCTTTACTGTTCCGTATTCGTTTGGGTCTGTACTTTGCAAATAGAACAACATTTTATTCTCATTAAAATATGACTATTGCTGCATATGCGTATGAAGCTGACAGAGCTAAACGTTTATATTTTGGTCAATACTCTCTCACACTTACTGACAAATATATTGTTATTTCTGATGGAAATACCGAGAAATACATAACATGGAAGGACTATGAAAAGTTTGACCCTATTTTAACTCCATGTACAATGCCATTCATTGTAAATGGTGAAATCGTCATGAAGAACGACACAACAGTATATAAGTCTGTATATGAAGCATTAGAATATATGTTGAATTATAATCCCGAAATATTTGACCCAAGCACTACACCATGTACAATGCCTTTTATTAAGGATGGTGAAATCGTAAGAGTTCCGGATTCAACGGTTTATACTGCTGTTCAAAACAGTTTACAAAACATTTTAGCGAATATCTTTAATTCAGAAACTACAGAAATAAAATTACCATATATAACAGATGCTAAAGAAATTAAATCAAAAACGACAACATTATTTACGTCACTTAATGATTTAATGACTTATATCATTAATATTCCTGCACCAACTACAGCATTTGATCCAAACTCGACGGTTTGCAGTGTACCTTTCATAAAGGACAGTTCAGTAATTGTTTTAAGGGATTCAACAGTTAATGAATCATTAAAGGCTTCATTAATGAAAATCATTGATTTTAACTCATTCACGAATACATATAATTCATTCATTAATGTTTCATATGCTTCTAAAGAAGGTGAGCCAAAAACTATCGATAAAGCGGTGTATGAAATAAAAGCATCAACGACGAAATTGAATTCGTTAACTTTTGACGGTGATAGTTTCGTTAATGACATAACATCGGGGAAAACAATTTTAACGAAAGAATATTTAAAATCTCATGTTAGTGAGTTCGTTGAAATTGAAAAAGAAGGTGGAATTAAGTTCGATCCACTGAATTTCATTTTCAGCTTAGCGAATGCGGGTGTTAGTTTCGCTGAATGGACAACTATACAGAGTGAAATAAATGCAATATGGACGTTTTTGGGGTCAAAAGCGGGAATGGGTGAGCTTGTAAATGCTGCAAGAACATTAGGTGAAACAGGAAATTTTGTAGATGGTTTTAAAAGACTTGTTTCAAATGTTTTAACAAACACAAAGAAATTATTTAGATATACCATACATAACGGACGGATTTTCGAACAGGTAGCAACAAACCCTCCGGTTATGGCTGCGTTGATGATGGTTAGAGATATAAAACCACGTAACGACGGGAACGAAGAACATGAACAACAGAGCCCAACGGGCTCAGAGCCACATAGTGGCGAGGATACTGGTCGGGTTATTCAAGACATTAAAAACGTGTATCCTGAAGTTATTGATTTATTTAGAGGAGTTAATGATTCAATTTCAAAACATTCTATAACCCTCGATGAAGAGAATAAATTAACAGATTATATATTCGTCATTATTGCAGAATTAATGAAGAGAATAAATGAAAAAGGAATTGGTGATATCATTAATGTCAGCGATGTAATGATGAAAAGAAATTTTGACTCATTATTTACAAAACCGAAAACAGAATATAGTCTTTATGACGTAATTACCGAATTAATGAAAAAGATTAATGATAATAAGAGTTCTGGCGGAAGAGTTGAATTAGAAGTGAATGATGTTAATGAGAAATTAGCCGAAAAAGCAGATAAAAACCATGTTCATTATATAAGTTCTGATGAACAGATTATAACGGACTATCATGGATATTTAACACAGGGTGAAAAAGTGAATACGAAAAATGTTAATGAAAGAAGATATAAATTCATTCGTGCTAAAGGTTATGACATACACTGTACTGTACAGTATGACACAGGTATAGCACCACAATCATTTGGTTATAACGCTGAAATTTATGCTTCATACTTCTTTGTTAACGGTGTATTAGTTGAACCAAGATTTACTTTGAGAGTTAAGTCAAAAATAACTTTTGAAGATGCTATTAAAAGTAAAGCTAACAAAACAGAACTTGACGCAACGAACAAAGTTTTGAAATCTCATAAACACAATATCTCCGATATAAATGAACTTCAAACTTCTTTAGACAGTAAAGCCGACAAAAATCATACACATAAATCCTTCACTACTGTTAGAGCAGACGACATAATATTGAACTATACTTTAGGTTCAAGTGCACCTTTAGAGAATCCAAGTACAAGCGTAAAAGATACACTAAACTCCTTAAATAGTAAATGTATGAACATTGAAGGTCATGCCAGAAACTTTGAAGCATATGAACTACCAGCAATGTTAGATAAGAAAGCTGACAAAACAGAGCTTCAAACATTAAAGACAGAAATACTTCAAACATTATATCCTATAGGTTCTATTTATACGTCAATGAACTCAACAAATCCAGCAACAGTTCTGGGTTTCGGTACGTGGGAACAGATTGTAGATAAATTCTTATACTGTGCTAGATATTCAAAGCAAACAGGAGGTTCGAAGAAAATTACTGAAGCAAACCTTCCACCGCACACTCATACAGGAACGACAAACTTTTCTGGCGACCATAGCCACTCATTAAGAGACCACCCATTATACAACTCAGAGTATGAAGCTGGCAATGACGTTTTATCTCCATCTTATAACAATGCAGCAAAAAAGACTTTTCGACCAACTGAACCAGGAGGAAATCATTCACATACTTTCACAACAAATCCAACAGGCTCGGGTGCAGATTATATGCCACCATTTGTGACTGTATTCGCATGGTATAGAGTTCAATGAACGCGCTTGAGCCTAGAATAAAATCTTTAACTTTACATAAATGAGCTTGAAAGAAGTATTCGAACAACATCCATGGAGGTCATTTAAGAAGTTCAATGAAGCTGCAAAGAGTCGGGGATTTACTAACAGAGCTGAAGTGAAAAGGTTCTTTGACAAAAATGTTGTACATCAAACAAAAATAAATCCTTACGACTACTTTTTACCAATTTACTCCAACACTCCTGACGCATACCAATTTGACACTCTCATTCAAAGCAGAAAATGTGGTCATAAACCATTCCTCATCTTCATTAATGTTAACACTCGCAAAGCTTTTGCGTATATAATGAGAAATAAAGGAACTCGTGAAGTGTTAAGAGTTTTACAAAAGTTTGTAGCAGAACATAACCCAAGTACTTTAACATCAGACCAAGACAGTGCATACCTCAGCAATGAAATCACAGATTTTCTCATTAAGCATAACATAACTCACTACACTACTGAAGACCATAACCATAACATACTCGGCATCATAAACCGCTTCATAAGGACTCTCAGAGATTTAAACCAAGAGCGAGACTTTACCGAAGAAACAATGAAACATTTTCTCGAAGTATATAATTCCTCAACACATTCTACAACAGGACATACACCAAATTCAATGACACAACAACAAGAAGAAAAGTATATACAAAAGAAACGAAGCCAAACACAAAATATCAGAAATTCAACACAATTTACCCTCATTCCTGGTACAAAAGTTCGTGTAGTTCTTGACGACAAACCATTGACAAAGAAACGTTTAAGGTTAAGTAGAAACTATTATATCGTAGACTCTACGCAAGGTAATGGATATCTTATAAAAGCTGCTGACGACTCCATAGCATTTTACCCTCGACATAAATTAGTTGAAAGTAGTAATGGCAAACTTGCTGAAACCATTGACGAAGCAAAGCGAGGAGTGGTTATTGAAATACTTGACTACAACATAAACGATGACACTTATAAAGTAAGATATGAAGGAGGCGTTGAAGATGTTATACCATCTAAGAACTTGAGAGAATCTAAACCAACTCATCTGGGACCATTAGAGCGGGAGTACTGGAAAGATAAAAACATGCCAGAAAGAATAAGAAAATTCTTCTAAACTTTTTCATTAGATGTAAATCAGACATGAATGAGAACAGTCATGTATTATTAATGTTTTCATAAATTTACACCAAAAAAATAATGTTTAGGTGAAGAGGTGAGATGTCACCCGTTTTCTCACCTGTTTTCTCACCTCATGAATTTTCATGAATTTTCACAAAAGACCAAAAATAATGTTAGTTTTATTTTTTTATTTTTTTATTTTGTATGTAAGAACAGAAATGTCAGTCGAAGCAAAAACATTCACGAACAAATCTAATGGCGAAACATTCACAAAAGGCACTTATAATGGTATTGAAGTCTTACGTAGAGACAAGGATGGTTACATTAATGCAACAAAGATGGCGAGAGAAGCAGGAAAGTTAAACCATTTAAACAGATTTCTCAATAGTGCTAAAATGCAGGAAATTCTTGAGTTTTGGTTGAAAGAATACGGTCGAGCCAAAAGTGGCTCAACCTCAAAACAAGCATTTTATGAGCTTACTAAAGGCGTTATGAATGAATTCAAAGGTATTTACATACATCCTGACCTCGTTCATTTTGTTGCTGAATGGTGCTCTGTAAAGTATGCATTTTATGTCAAAGATATTATGGACTCCATAGACAAGAAAGTTCATGAGAAGTTAGATGAAGAAGAACTCGAAGATACAGTAGAAAATGCTAAACCTTTGTTTGAAGAAGAAGTTGGAAAAATGTGCGAAAAACAATTAGAACATGAACGTGAGATATGTTATGGTTATAGAGATTCTCCATACGAACTAGACCAATGGGAACAAGAAGATTTAAAGAGAGAATTTAGAGAATATGAACTCGCTAAGATAGCATTTGAAGCTGCAGAAAAGAAGTTAAAAGTTTGGGGTTGTTTTGTACAAAAATATTGTGAGTAAATGAACCATTTATTTTGTTGCTAAATTCAATAAAAATAATGTTTAGGTGAAGAGGTGAGATGTCACCCGTTTTCTCACCTGTTTTCTCACCTCATGAATTTTCATGAATTTTCACAAAAGACCAAAAATAATGTTAGTTTTATTTTTTTTATTTTTTTATTTTGTATGTAAAGATATGATTTCAACAATCGGCACAACAACAATTCAAGCCGCGAACGGCGGGACTCTGTCCACAACAACAGCACCAAACTCGTTAGTTATGAATCCTACGTCAATGTTGGTAGAGATGAAAAACTTCATTCCTTCTTCATATACTTTCGAAACAAAAATCCAGAAGATAAAGCAAGAACTTTTAACAAGTAATTTAGACTGTAGTGCGAAAGATGAAACAAATGAACAGTATCTTTATGAAATGCAGGACATTATTGACCATTTACCCAAATTGCCTGAAATCCAACAACAAAAACTCACTATTCCTGAATTCGACGAAATTGAAGTGAAACCAACTGACTCAGTAGAAATAAAGAAGTTCATACGTAAAGTAAATTATGAATTCCTTGGTTTTCATTGCAACCATAAGGTTATGGACAAAGATTGCGACATGGTATATAAAAACATTTCTGACATATATAAATCTGAGGAGTTTAAGACCTACGATAACTTTGTTTCGTTAGTTGCAGAATGTGTTTGGGAAATAAGAGATAAAGATAGAAGAGGTAAGGTATGGAATGAACAGATAAGACCCGCTATGTTTGAGATGAAGAGAGCAATTGACGCCTTAGTTGTTTTAGCAGGTAAGGTTTCAATGTATAATGCAAAAATGAACCCGCAATGTTCAAAATGTAAAGCAGCAATTAGGAAATATAACTACTCAGTCAAAGAGATAGAAAGAATGCGAAACGACTATGCAGACTTAAAGAAAGAAGTAGAGAAACCAGCAGAAGATAAAATGAACATGTTAGAATTTCTGAACAAAAACTATCCAACAGTAGAAGATTTCCTTCTATCTGACGTCAAGAAGAAATATAAAGAGACTTTCGGCATTGTTAAAACATTCGATGTACTAAAAGAAGAAATAGAAGCTACGAAATTGTTTAGGATTTCAAATATACATCGTACAATTCATGTAAAACGCTTATAAAATAACAGGTGAGAAAACAGGTGAGAAAACAGGTGACATCTCACCTCTTCACCTAAATTATATTTTTGGTCATTTACACTCATTTACGATGAAGTTATGACAAAGCATTTACGATGAAGTTATGACAAATTCATGAGGTGAAAAAACAGGTGAGAAAACAGGTGACATCTCACCTCTTCACCTAAATTATATTTTTGGTCATTTACACTCATTTACGATGAAGTTATGACAAAGCATTTACGATGAAGTTATGACAAATTCATGAGGTGAGAAAACAGGTGAGAAAACAGGTGACATCTCACCTCTTCACCTAAATTATATTTTTGGTCATTTACACTCATTTACGATGAAGTTATGACAAAGCATTTACGATGAAGTTATGACAAATTCATGAGGTGAAAAACAGGTGAGAAAACAGGTGACATCTCACCTCTTCACCTAAATTATATTTTTGGTCATTTACACTCATTTACGATGAAGTTATGACAAAGCATTTACGATGAAGTTATGACAAATTCATGAGGTGAGAAAACAGGTGAGAAAACAGGTGACATCTCACCTCTTCACCTAAATTATATTTTTGGTCATTTACACTCATTTACGATGAAGTTATGACAAAGCATTTACGATGAATTATGACAAATTCATGAGGTGAAAAAACAGGTGAGAAAACAGGTGACATCTCACCTCTTCACCTAAATTATATTTTTGGTCATTTACACTCATTTACGATGAAGTTATGACAAAGCATTTACGATGAAGTTATGACAAATTCATGAGGTGAAAAAACAGGTGAGAAAACAGGTGACATCTCACCTCTTCACCTAAATTATATTTTTGGTCATTTCAACTCATTTACGATGAAGTTATGACAAAGCATTTACGATGAAGTTATGACAAATTCATGAGGTGAAAAAACAGGTGAGAAAACAGGTGACATCTCACCTCTTCACCTAAATTATATTTTTGGTCAAAGCTTCCACGAGAGAAAAGATTCCTCATTCGCTAAGGATTCCAAAAATGAAAAAATCATTGATTTTGGCTGAAAAAAAACAGCAAAACCCTTCTTCCACGGGAACAAAGAAATAAAGAAGAAATAAAGTAAATTTTTTATTTATTCCCGTGGAAGATAGAGCACTTTTATGATACTTTTATTCACGACAAACAAGACAAACAAAGAAAATAAGAAAATACGGCGCTGTCGCGGTTCGAACCACAGACCTTGACCCCTCCATAACACCACCTTAGACCACTGTGCTACGTAGCCTGTCGACATAAGATTTTATAAATTGCATATTTGACGTAAATTTATTTCCATCTAGCTTCCCACTGCATAAGATATTCATACGTGTTTGTAACATTCATTAAACTTCTTTTCTATTGCATCTAATCTTGCGTTATTTTTTTCAATAACTTGTCTGTATTCTTCATCATCTCCAGCAGTGTTTGG